ATGTTTAATTCTTTGTGGCATGAAGGTATTAAAAATTAGTTTAGATTAATTGATCAATGATCTAATTGTTTTTTTTATTATATTCAAGAGGTTAGTTGTAAATTTTCTGAAACAAATAGAAATATATGAAGAGTTTTTATTTGCATCTCTTAAGTCCAACTTTATAAATAATATCGACTATATTCTTTTAGACTTTAAAGAATAAATCAATTATGCTCTTTTAGAGATTTGTTTTCATAACACTAACTGCTCAATAATTGATGGTTTATTAATTTATCTTTTCAATATAAAAGCATTAAGAAAAAAAATGCACAAAAAAATACATTTTTTGTTTTTTTAGATAATTTAATTTTACAAGGATTTTAGTCAATAATGAAACACTTCAACTGTTTTTTCAAAAAAATAAATTTTGAAAACATTTCGATCAAAATTAGCATTCCTTTTTTTGTCAAGAGGATCTGACATGGCATTCCCTTTACAGCTTGGATCCTTCTAGCTTCAACTTCCCCTATATATATTCCTTCCAAACAGACCAACATAAATCACTCACTCTCCTAATCAATCCTTCTAAAAAACACACCTTTTTTCCCAACAACAAATCACATCACTTTCTTTTTCCCATCTCCTGCCACTTTCACTTTCTTCAGAACTTTCAAGATCACCAAGAAATTATGTTGTCATCAAAGGTCACATGCAACTCTCATGGACAAGATTCATCGTACTTCCTCGGATGGGAAGAATACGAAAAGAATCCCTACGACGAAGTTAAGAATCCCAATGGAATCATCCAAATGGGTCTCGCCGAGAATCAACTCTCCTTTGATCTTCTTGAATCATGGCTTCAGAAAAACCCAGAGATAGCAGCTTTCAAGAAACATAATAACGATCAATGTATCTTTAAAGAACTTGCTCTCTTTCAAGATTACCATGGCCTTCCTGCCTTCAAGAATGTAAGCACGAATTAATCATTGATCTCTTTATATCAATTTATATATGTATAAAATCAATCCTTCCTTAATTTCAATTTTTCTTTAATATTTTTGTGATTAATAAACGAATTTTATCTACAGGCTTTAGTCCGCTTCATGTCGGAGATACGAGGAAACACAGTTACTTTTGATCCGAACAACCTTGTACTCACAGCAGGAGCAACCTCGGCTAACGAGACTTTAATGTTTTGCATAGCTAATCCCGGCGACGCGATTCTCATTCCGACACCATATTATCCAGGGTAAGTTGACATTTTTATACATGAAATGTGTTATCAAGATCACTCTGTTATTTTTGTATCTGGTTTTGATCGAGTTTGTTAATGTTGTACAGGTTTGATAGAGACCTGAAATGGAGAACTGGAGCTGAAATTGTTCCAATCCATTGTTCAAGCTTGAATGGTTTCAGAATTACAAAACCTGCTCTTGAAGATGCTTACAAACAAGCAGAAAAACAGAACCTCAAAGTCAAGGGTGTTTTGGTGACAAACCCTTCGAACCCATTAGGCACGTCGTTGAGCTTGCATGAGCTCGATCTACTCGTCAACTTTATCTCAACGAAAAATATCCACCTCATTAGCGACGAAATTTACTCAGGTACTGTGTTTAGCTATCCCAGCTTTACTAGTATCATGGAGGTTTTAAAAAACAGAAACCTTATGAACACTGAAATCGCGAAAAGAGTCCACATTGTTTATAGTCTCTCTAAAGATCTTGGACTCCCTGGTTTTCGAATTGGAGCTATTTACTCCAATGATGAGCGTGTTGTATCTGCTGCAACCAAAATGTCTAGCTTCGGTTTGATCTCTTCTCAGACTCAGTATTTATTGTCGGAAATCCTTTCTGACAAGAAGTTTACAAAAACGTATCTTTCTGAGAACCGAAGAAGGTTGAAGCAAAGACATGAAAAGCTTGTAAAGGGGCTTCAGAAAACAGGAATACGGTGTCTTCAAAGCAATGCTGGTTTGTTTTGTTGGGTGGATATGAGGCACCTTTTGAGCTCAGATACTTTCGAAGGTGAAATGGAGCTTTGGTTGAAGATTGTTTATGAAGTTGGGTTGAACATTTCACCTGGTTCATCGTGCCATTGTAGTGAACCGGGTTGGTTTAGGATTTGCTTTGCAAACATGTCCGAGGAAACCCTAGCAGTTGCCATGCAACGTGTGAAGTCGTTTGTAGAGTCTATAGTTAAGAAAAATACTCAGAGTCGTCATCAACAGTTACTGAAGAGAGATTCAAGAAGATCGAAGTCGCTACCCAAATGGGTTTTTGAACTATCGTTTGATCACCAACGGGAAGTGAGTGATGAACGTTAGGCATGCGATGGATTGATCGACATATATGTTTGATTTTCTTTTAGTTATTTTCTCAATGTATTAATATGATGTACATTGAGTTTTTTTTTTTTTTTTTTTAAATATTTTTTGTGGGATTCTTAGTTCCTAAACAGAGATCGTGCACTCAATCCTTGTGGATTAGAAGTGGCATATGATTCTTCGCTTTGTAAAATCATTGAGTAATTTTGATGTAACTTAATTTCTGAATTGTTCAAGAGACTTTTATTTTTGATCAGTATTTCTCTTTGAAAATGTTTTACTAAAATCATAATATATATATATACTCTTTATCATGTTTGTATACTCACGTTGTTTTATCACATCACAAATCACAATCATATATTGAAATTTTATGAAACATAGTAATATTACAAACTAAGAATACATCTTGATTTCGAAAAAAAATTGTTTGAATATACAAGTATTGTGATTATAAACTTATTTTTATTAAAATTTAAATTAAAATATTGAATAAAGAATATGATGTTCATAACTATTTATCCACCTTTTGATTATGACACGATATCTTAACAATCAGATTTCTTAAAATGGCAACGCCGCTATCTGCGGCTTGAGTTACTGAGAAGTTGGTGCCGACGTACATCGGCCGGCCGTTTTGTTTTCTTATACATGTTTGTGTAACCGACTTTTTCTTTTTTGGTTCTTCCAACGGAGGTAGAATGTGTACCAACGGTTCGTATGATTAATTTAGAAGTATCACACTTATTGATGAGGGGGTTCGGATATTCCTATAATATTTTTGCTTTAAACTAATATCTACATCATAATTCTTTTCGCTACTACAAAATGGACTTGCATAGCACCTATGTAGGAATTGGTCGCCTAAAATCATTTAATGACGAATTAATGATACAAAATGGTCGCAACTAAGTAGTGGCTAATAGTTCCACCGCTCCGATACATTCACTGCAAGAATCAAAGGCATTAACGGCGACGTCAATAGTGGCGATAACCAGTATTAGCGGTGACGCTAACAACTGTCACCGCTAATAGTAGTTGGTGCCGCTAGTGCCGTTAAGACAACGATTCACCTTCATTCGTTCTGGTAAACCCCGTCCGTTTGATAATGTCTACAACCCAAGAGCTGGCCTCGTTTGTTTCACGTAAATTAATAACGACGACACCAATATCCGTGACTGATATCGTCGCTGAAAGTCGAAAAAAATCCTGCATTTTTTCCCTCTTTCGTGTCGCCCCTATTTCCTATCCATCGTCGCCATTACCTATTAGTCTCGCCGCTATTAGCCGTCGCCGCTATTACTTGTCGCAGATGACCCAACACGGTGTCTGTCTTCTTCACTTTCTGCTTCCATTTGTCTCCCGTATTTTCTCCTCTTTCTCTGTTAATCCTCTCACACAAATCTTTGGTCTAGGAAAAATACCACCACCACGCCACCGGGATGCACCCCACTGTGACATTACCATCGAAGAGCAAAGGGATATACCAACAATGCCTCTTTTCTCTGGCGATGGTAATGAATCTCATTCCTCGTTTCTCTTTCTCTTTCTCTATTAACGTCAATTTCTAGTTTAATGTCAAGATTAATTGCAAAAAAAATTGTTGATTCAAGTTCTCCTTAACTGTTGTTGTCTCCGACGACAACTACCACAACCACCGCGCCACCTGCTTGATTTCCGACACCCACATGTTCCATTTACTGTTAAGTTTGTACTGATGAATATTTGTATGTGTATCTTTATCTATTTATGAAAGTTTGTATATGTGTGTATATTTGGTATATGCGTGTGTGAATGTATGTGTATTTGTTATATGTATGTGTGTATA